GCTCAACCCCTTCTGAATTTTGCTCAAGTGTAGTTACTGGTGAAGTTTGCCATTTGACAGTTCCCCAATGCTGTTAACATGTCTATTATACTGAAAAACAAAGAAGTTATACAATCTAGCCCATGTCCAGCATTTTAACTCTTACAGCTTCTAACATTGGAAATTGACAATTCCTGCATTCAATACCTTTTCCACCCTCAGCATATGTTGATCAATTGTTTTACATTTCTAGTTCTTAATGCTTTTTGGAAATCTGTCATGAGTTTACTTCAAGATATATAGGACCTACTAATCTTGATATTCTTAGAATTTCTTCCTTGAATTTCTGTAGGACCTACTCAAGTTGCATTTGGTTATGGAGGTTCATCATCTGCATTGAAATCGTATGGCCCTCTCAAGGGTCATAAAAAGTTTGACAGCTCAATGTCCAACGGCAAGTGTTTTCTCTAACCATTTTACTTTCTGCTATATGGATATTTGCAGCTTGTTTGACGTCGTCTTGGTTTTACAGGTGGTACGGGCGTGCAGCGAGTGCAGAAAGAATACACTGAGCCATGGGTTGGTTTTAAAGATTAATGCACTTCGTATTCAGTGTTTTCCGCTGCAAACGTTCTTGTGCCTGATGTTTTCTTTCTCATTTTGTATCTCAGGATTATTATACCAACTATCCTACGACTCTTCCCTTGAGGAGGCCCTATTCGGGAAATCCAGGTAAAGTTCAGCCAATGCTATGAAAACCAAATTGCTATCTTTCAGGAAAGACAAAGAGCACACCCTATATCGAGACATGAAAAGCTTAATTAAGCAGCCGAACTCTTTCAGTTTGGGTTGTGGTTTGCTTATTTCAGATTCTTTAATATGATGATTTACCATTCACACGCACCTTTAACCATTATACATAATCAAAGTATTGATCTTATATTGCAGAACTTCTTGACGAGGAAGAATTTGGGGAAGCCTCGCGAAGCTCGAGTTACGATGAAAATACCATAAAACCAGCCATGGAGCTTGGTCTAATGGTTAGTTAATTGTTTGATGGTTTGGCTTCAGACTTATTATTAAGTAATTGCCACGAATATTTACATCAATAATTGTTAGGAGGAGAATCTCGAGGAAAAGATGTTCTTCATTCAATTACCAACGGCCATGCCAATGTTGAAGCAATCGATTAAAACAGAAGGCAGTGAGGCGAGCAGCTCAAGGCCTTCAAAGGCTAAGGCCTATAGTATAAACGAATTACCTAGGGGCTTCATGGGTAAAATGTTAGTGTACAAGAGTGGTGCGATTAAATTGAAGCTTGGTGATACCCTTTATGATGTAAGTTTGCTTCATTACTATATAACTAGAACTTGTTTCATATGAATTTCATTTTGTATCTTTGGAAGGAGCAACTAATTTACACTTAGCTAAACTAGCATATGCCTTAAAAATCATTTAACTGGAGAAGTGTATTCATCATGAGACAGATTTGTTAAAATAAGTATCTTCACGCTGATGGTAAATAACTTAAACGCACTGAAATACTGATCTGGAAATGCGCTGCAGGTTTCTCCAGGTATGGATTGTTCGTTTGCCCAGGATGTTGTCGCTGTTAATACAGAAGAGAAGCATTGTTCTAACATTGGGGAGCTTACTAAACGTATCATTATAACACCAGATGTTGACTCAATCTTGGATTCTATTTGATTTATTTGTGATGGTTTGCTTTCTTGTTATTATGCTTCAGTTATACATATAGCAATTGGTATTTCCTATTTGAAGTTAGAAGAGGTTAGTTTCTATCTCACATATGCATTTAGTTGAACATTTACCATAAATTAATGAAAATTCTTTATTTTTTACTTGAGACTAGTATCCATGTTTTAAAGCTTCTGTCACTCTTTGTATGTGATATTCAGGATCAGCTATTCTAGTGGTAAGCATGGTTAGACTTGTAACTAATCTAATCTAAACCCTGGACATGTGAATATGTCCATAGAGTTTTACTGGTTGGCAGCTCTTGTACAGAACATCTGAAAAGAAAGTTTTGCTGGATTAAAAATATCAATTAATAGAGGCTTATTTGGTATGCCCTTTTTATGTCAATAAAATTAACAAATGAAAAGAGTCATTTTTTCCATAGAAGACTTCATTATTCCCATAGCTCAGCGCTAACAATTTTAGAATGGCTTATTACTTCAGCCTTCATTATTCCCATAGCTCTGACGCGAACATTATATGTATATATGTGAAAACAAGTATAGAGAGGATTACACATATATTTAACCTGTGTTTTCAACCTAAAACTCATAGCGTTTATGCCCTGGATTTGGTGGGCACGAGCACAGATTTGGAATAGCAACACACACAGAGTTAAAGCCATAGCTACATGTAGGGGTGTTCATAAAAACCCGAACCAAATCGACCAAAAAAACCGATACTTTTTTATGTGGTTTGGTTTTGGTTTTGAATT